CGGAGTTCCTTTTAATTTAACGAGAAATTTCACATTAATCCGTAGCTCATGTTTTTCGTCACACATTGTTTTAGGTACGAGAAAAAAACACGTTATTTTCTAACCTCTACAAAAAAATACTACTACATCGACAAAAACGTGTTTTCGTTCTGGAAGAGTAGACACTTCCACCTATCCAATGCTGCATTCTTTTCCCCCTTTTCCCCTCTAGGATACCTTCTGCGCGCGCAGTCTCGTTATTTAATAGGCAGACCTCGAACATCCTTCGTTTTTGGCTCTTCTGACCTCTATGCTCTGCATACTCATTTGTAGGGCTACCGTTCTTTATTCCACCCTCTGGACTATATTTATCAGGTATTTCGAAAATATTAGGGCTGTGTCGATATATATGCCTAGGTATTTTACACAGTTTGTAAGAATTATTGTATTACTACCAATTTGAAAAGTCAGCTCTGGTCTTTGTCGTGGTCCTTTTAATATTATTACTTCAGTTCACTAGTGTTTCCGCCTAGTTCCAGATCGTTTCCAGCCACTCAGCTATTGGTTTTTCTGTGTATCATGTGTTTACTTTGTTTTCGATTTTCTAGTTACTGTTAGTCAACACTAGTATCGCCAGGTCATCCGCGTAGGTTATAGCTAGAGTATTTCTACTATAGTCAATTTCTGGTACCCCGTTATATAATATATTCCAGAGGGTTGGACCAAATACGAAACCTTGTGGTATGACGGCTGCGAACTACTGTTTTTTGCCACTATAACTTATCTATGTGTAAGATACCTTTTAATGATATTGATAAGGTATCCTGACACTTATGCTGATTAAAGTTTTGTTACGATATATGCCCAGTTGGCAGAGTTAAAGGCATTCTTTATATCAAACATAACTAATATGGCCTATCTGTTCTGGTGTTTTTTACAGTGTTAGTTAAACGTCGTCTATTGCAGACGTAGCTTTTCTAAATCTATATTATCTGTTGGAAAAGACCTCTAGGTCTCTAGCTTTAGCTAGTTTCAAGTGGTCTGGGAATTCTTGTCTTATTAGTTTCTCATTTAATGCCCTTCTAGGAGCTTCTGGACATTCATCTACTAGTATTTTTATCGCCTTTGGTTACACACAGTCTGGTCCAGGGGATTTACCTCAGGCGGTAAATCTTAGGCGGTTAGTGGTAGGTGTATTATCCAAGCCAGCACCTTCTCGAACTTTCATGAGCACATTAAACATGTCATGCTTCCTTTCGAATTCTTCCATGTCCGAACATATATCCACCATTTGTTTCTCTTAAGCGATTCGTATTTTTTATTTTAATTTTCATTGTTCCTGTTTGTATTCTTCTGCCTTTTCTGTGTATTGTTGTCTCTGTTCCTGTATATTATTGATCTATTTTGATGTAAAATAAGTTATTTACCTAAAAATTCTGTGTTTAGATTGCCAATAAGACTAACAAATAATCTGAATGTGATTACTTTCAAAATATGATACCTAATTAATACTTACAATGTAGAAAAATAATTTTAAATTAATGTATTTCGATCAGCAATCGATAATTGCAAAAATGTGAACGTTGAAAGACGTGACTAAAAATATTAAAATCAGTTAGTTATATGTCTAATTTCAAAGATAAGTTTCAAACATATATATTTAAGAAATAAAAAATGTTGAAAAAAATTTGTGTTTTGGAAGTTAAATAACAACCCTATATACATTACAAAATGACAAAATAATTCTCCAATAGTCGCCAAATGGATAAAAAAGCATCGAACAAGTTTTTTTTCATAAATATAAAAAAGTATACTGTAAGGACAAAATAAAATACACTTTATCATGAATGTGTTGCTTGTGTGAGTCCATTTTAAATAGGTAAAGAAATAATAAATAAGACTTACTCACAATCAATTTAGTTTAACTATCAGACGACCGGTTTCGCTTTCAACAATATGCAAAGCATCTTCAGGTCTCTATACAAAGTTAAATAAATGCTGAAATAATAAAAACCCATATTAGGGTGTTGTCTAATAAAGATAAACAAAGTAGATGTTGGAAATTACAATAATTATGCCAATATTACATGTCTGTGGTTTTATTTGAAAAAGAGTAAGTTGAATAAAAAGGTATAAAAGTTTTAAAAGTTTAAACAGACAAGGTAAGGCCCACAAATTGACATAAAGTAGTCTGTTAGATTGTAATAAATTAATAAATGAGCAAATAAATAAACATTACTTGCATGCCGGTATTCTATTAATTGATGGATGGTATAACATGGTTGAAACTACTATGTAGGTATTGTTGAATGGAGAACTCAATTCTGCTATTGTAGTTGTATGACAGTAAACGGGAAGTTCTTGAGGAGATAGATTTGATCCAATGAAGCAGAGATATGTGTATGAATGTTTGTTAAATGAAAGTGATGTAATATACTATTGTATTATTAAAAGTTATTTATACTTATTCGAGAGATATATTTATGAAATGTGTGTTATTTATTGAGTAATTGTTTTATGAAGGTTACAGTTTTATGACAATGAATAAGTTTTTTACTGAAATAAATGTTGTTTGACCATAATATTGTAGTGTACAATTAGAACTGGAATACACACCAGTATACTCAGTATTAATATAAAAAAAATTTATATAAATTATCTGATCCTATTCCATTTCTTGTTTCTACAGCAAACTTATAGAATTGTTGCCCCAAACTTCAACTTATCAGATTAGATTTCCATATAGTATCCTTCATCATCACATATTTTTCAGAAGTAACTTCAATATTATGGTCAAACAACATTTATTTTAGAATCCCATATATAATCAGAGGCATTTGATACACCTCTTAGATTATTTAAATCTTCTACATCAAAATCAAAATTAAAATCTGGTCCCCTTGGATCTAGTTCTTTGTTCACAGAATTTCTTTAATATACTACCAGAAACAATATTTTTCTAAAAACTACATTAATATCAGTATTGAGCTGGTGTGGTACCTCAACTTATTTAACCCACAATTATTATTACATTCCATCTGGTTCCGAAATATACTCATCTTACAAAAATTTTTGATTTCAAACTCAACACGTGTTTGAAAATTCCCAACAGAACATGTAAATCGTTCAGACTAGCGGTATTAATTGAATACATCTTTACTAATTACAATTATACACAAATTTACATTTCAAATAGATATATTAACTTTCATAAACAGGTATTAATTAAAAAAATTTTTAAAGTGTTACTTAAAACAATTGTACAAACTCACCATTGTTTATGTCGGTGTGAGGAATACCTGTTCATAGGACACGAAAAATTTAAATAAGAATAAATTTACTTTATACCGGTTTAAATAGAGGATCTTTCTACCTGTTCCTATAACAACTTCCGGTTCCAACTGTCAGATATTAGAACTACCAACTAATTATTGAAGGCTTTATAATTCAGTCAATTTCTTGAGCCCATAAATTAATTACTATCAATAATTATCCATTTGTTGCTTTGGTTACATATTAATATATCAGATATTAATATATTAATATATCGGAATTTGAATTAAATATCTAAAATATTTAAAAACAACAAGACAGATAACTGACACCAACAATAATTTCAAATAAAAATAAAAACTTTTGTAAACTTGTTATACACCTGATTATAAAATGTACATGTTCAGTGGCTAAAGAATCACTTTAATTTAATTTGTTCAGTAATTTGGACATTAGACTGAGTTAGTTATAATGTGTGATGTTTTTTAATTACTCGTATTGTTACATTTAAATTTAATTAATTAAAGATTGTTAAAGTATGCCAATATTAAACACATCAATTTACTTTTGATATGTTAATTGAAACAATTTATAGACATTCATTAATATCAGCATATTTCATAAAACTAGATAACTTAACTTGCAGTATTGAGAAACAGAAGAAGAACTGTCACATGCTAACCTACATCTGTCAAATTTACCACTAAAATCGAGTAAATAATACATAAAAAACTCATTGTGCCCAAGACTGAAATGTAATGCATAAAAGTCCTTTCCCCTTTTAAATTTAATGTTCGTTTTGTCCCTTCTAAGTGTTTTCTGTTTTAGTGTGTTTTAAATTGTCCTTAATTGTTTTAATTCTAATATTTTATTTACTTGACTTTACAATAATCTACTATTTTGCCAATAGAACTTTATCAAAGAGATTTGATAACTACAAGTTGAAAAATAATTGCACACCCACACAATTTGTACATCTAAACTTATTCATTGTCATAAAACTGTCACCTTCATAAAACAATTACTCAATAAATAACACACATTTCATAAATATATCTCTCGAATAAGTATAAATAACTTTTAATAATACAATAGTATATTACATCACTGTCATTTAACAAACATTCATACACATATCTCTGCTTCATTGGATCAAATCTATCTCCTCAAGAACTTCCAGTTTACTGTCATACAACTACAATAGCAGAAGTGAGTTCTCTATTCAACAATACATAGTAGTTTCAACCATGTTTCACCATTCATCAATTAATAGAGTACCGGCATGTAAGTAATGTTTATTTATTTGCTCATTTATTACAATCTAATAGACTACTTTATGACAATTTGTGGGCCTTACCTTGTCTGTTTAAACTTTTAAAACTTTTATACCTTTTTATTTAACTTACTCTGTTTGAAATAAAACCACAGACATGTAATATTGGCATACTTATTGTAATTTCCAACATCTACTTTGTTTATCTTTATTAGACAACGCTCTAATATGGGTTTTTATCATTTCAGCATTTATTTAACTTTGTATCGAGACCTGAAGATGCTTTGCATATTGTAGAAAGCGAAACCGGTCGTCTGATAGTTAAATTAAATTGATTGTGAGTAAGTCTTATTTATTATTTCTTTACCTATTTAAAATACACTTTCTTTAAAAGTAGTTTACTTTCAACAAAACAATCAAAGCAAGTACGCTTTTATTTTAGAATTAACAATAAGTTTTGTTTTTTTTATTACAGGTTAATTGAACTCTCTGAGATGTATTATAAACCAGTACTTGCTCGATATAAGCAAGGCAAACTAAAACCATTCGACCTAAAGCCGAAAGCTGAATGGCAACCAAAATCCCTTCCTAGGATGGGATTTGTAGAAACCGAGAAGGAAGAAAGCAAAATTCAAAAAGCTATGAACTTAGTAAAAGAAAAACAAAAAGAACTATTTAGTAAGTTAAAGTCAAGAAATTCAAAGTTACTGAGACGTAACCAGTTAGATAATCATGAAGATCAAGCAGGTGAGTACTTTTTAAAATTTTTGCTGACTTGTTAGAACTCCGTGATTTATAAAATTACACAAAAAGGTTACACGATTGTATAAAATTTATAGGGGTAAATAAAACGTTTTTCTATTCACAACCTGAAAAGTGAAAACAAGTATTTGGCACTTTCAAAACACAGTTCAAAATACAATTCAAAATACAACTGATATACCGTAAAATGGGGTGAGATTGATCTCCCGGGGTGACATTGACCACTTGTTGTTATATCACATATATGTTATATGCATTGTACCAACGAATGTTCCTTATCACGACGATTCCCAGGGTATCAGGTTTCCACTTCCAACAACCTTAGCCGATAAAGATCCTTGCACATGCAGTTACAGCAGAGTCAGCGGGACCCAAGCTTTTTACACGTTCCCACTGAGTCAGCATTTACTAATATTATAAAACCGCTTGTACCTCTTTATTTTCGTTCAGTATTCAGTATATTTTTGTAGTTCATTCATTATATTTTTATATTTCATTTATTTGTAACACGTAACTTTGATAATTGTATTTTCGTAATAAATTTATTTTTCTAAAAGTCAAAAAAGTGTTTCGTGATATATAAAATATTATGTAGGTACAACCGGCAACAATGCAAAATTGTGTTTGGGCATGGCATTATTATTTTTTGGATCTTGGCTATGATCAGTTAACGTCGTTGTTACTTTGCAATTGGCATTGGGAAGACGTTATGTGGCTTTGAAATTAACCATAATTTTTAGCCTATTTTTATAGTTTTTGTACTTATGATGGTAGAGAAAGAACAGAGGTAAGTTCGCTATTCCTAGTGTTACAAAATTATTTTGTATGGCTCTTTAATACTATTTTTATGTATCTAGCATTTTAACTAACGCCAGCTTTTGAAGATAGCGAATAATATTGAATGGGGCAACATTCATCAAGTGATCAATCTAACCCCACGTTACGTACGTTCCAGAAATTAATTTATAATTTTTGTTACAGATTTAAGAATATTAATCAAAATGGGAAGAAGTGTATAAGATAATTAGGCAGTAGCACATATGGCAATTTTAATGAAGAACAAGTTAATCAGACGTTGCAAGATGTTTTGAAAAATGGATTATCGCTAAAAAAGCCGCAAAAAAAATACAAAATGTCATACGGAACTTTAAATAACAAGTAACATGGAAGGAAGATTAAGAAAACAGGTGAACAATATGAAAAAGAAGTAGCCAATGTAAATAGCATTTTAACGTGTGCAGATTGGGGATATCCTTTAAGTATCCTCTAAGGATTTGAGAATGTTCGTCAAAAGTTTTTTGGACAAAACGGGTAGAAATGTATCTAGATTTAAGGAGAATATTCCTAGAATTGCCTGGGTAAATAGCTTGTTGAAGAGACACGGAGGTATTGCTGGTAAAAGATTAACAACTAATATTAAAAAAAGCCGAGCAGTAGTATCTCCGGTCCTGATTAAAAAATACTTTTACAATTGACAATTTATAACAAACGATTGAAAATGTTTCAGTGAAAATGTTTTTAATTACGACGAGTCCAACGTCTCAGATGTCCCCGGAAAAAAATTGTGCATCTATCGAAGAGGTACTAAATATCCCGAAAAAATATGCAACCATTCAAAATATGCTACATCTGTAATGATTTGTGGATCCACCTTAGGTATACTTCTACCACCTTACGTCATATACAAGGCGGAAAATTTATGTGATACTTGGACAAAAAATGGTCCCAAGGGCAGCCCATGCTGCGAACAGCCATGTTGCTCACTGGGGACGCGATATAATCGAACCTCCCATGCTTGTATTGATGTGTCAACATTCAATGATTGGTTTGTCACTTCCTTCTTACCACATGCTAGGTGACTCGATGGAAAAAAAGGTGTTAATAGGGGACAACATAGCATCTCAGTTTAATCCAGATGTTCTGAGATAATGTGACAGAAATAATATATTATTGCATGCTTACCAGCGAACTCGACTTATATTTGCCAGCCATTAGAGGTCGCATTCTTCAGGCCCTTAAAAGTAAGCTGGAGAAAAACTTTAACATCATGGAAAATGCAAAATTTCAAAACCTCTGGCATTCCGAAAAATGAATTTCCCGATCGGGTAAAGCAAACACTTGAAATCATAAATAAAGTACCACCTAAAAATCCAAACGGAGAGAAAAGTGATGTAAAAAGAAATTTACTTTCTGGTTTTGAAGCATGTGGTATTGCACCATTCAACCCCAATCGAGTTTTGGAAAAGCTACCACAAGACGCTATTGATCGAGCCGAGCTTAGATGCTCTCTTACTAACTTTTTGAAAGACTTGAGGTACAATTCCGGCTGTGAAAAACCTAGACGTAAAAGAAAACTGTTAGCAGCTGAACCTGGTCAAAGTGTTATAGCACCTAAACCATCAGAGGAGTCCAGTGAGGATGATTCAAATAAAAACCTGGAATTAGATGACAGCAACAGTGATGTTAGGACATAACGGCATATAAAAATGAGAAAATCTCGCAGACAATCGAGCACAACAAGAGCATGATGATATTAAGAAGGAAATTGGCGAACAGCAGAAAATAAATCATCAGACTTAAGGGAAAGAATGGCAAACTAACGTCCAACAGAGACGAAATGTTAGAGATAGTAGAAGACTTCTATAAAACATCATACACAAATAAATTGTACTTAAACCCGACAGAACATACAGAACAAAAAATTATGAATCAAGGTTCAGAAGATATTCCCGACATATCAACGGCTGAAATTTACCATGCTCTAAAGAAAATGAAAAAAAAAACAAAGCACCAGGAGAAGATGGAGTAGTGGCGGATGCGCTAAAAATCGGAGGCTCTGCTCTCATCAGGACAATCAAGCAGCTCTTCAATATATGCTTAGAAAACCAAGCAATAGCAGCTGAATGGAATAATTCTATAACGCTCCTCATGCATAAGAAAGGAGATCAAACAGACCTCGAAAACTATAGGCCAATCAGTCTTCTAAGTCACCTGTATAAATTATTTGCTCGAATTATCACTGCCAGAATTGAGAACAAACTAGAAACATGCCAACCAAGAGAACAGGCATGCATTCCAGATGTTAGAATGGGAAAACAGAGGTTTGAGTGTCGACGGCGAAAGGCTGAACCACCTACGATTTGCAGATGACATAGTTCTAATAACCGACGACTCAAAGTAGGCCAACGAAATGCTACAAGATTTACAACGAGTCTCCCAAAAAGTAGGGCTGGAAATAAACTTTGCGAAAACTAAAATGATGACCAACTTAGTACCTAGTGGACCATTGAAACTAGAAAACTGGCATATTGAAACGGTTGACAAATACATATATCTGGGCCACGAAATACAAATAAGTAGAGAGAACCAAACATGCGAATTATCTAGAAGAATAGCTTTAGGATGGGCACCCTATGGCAAACTAAAAGACGTGTTTAAGGAAAACATCCCAATAAAGCTAAAGAGAAAAGCATTTAACCAGTGCGTACTTCCGGTGCTCACTTATGGAGCTGAAACACTGACATTGACTAAAGCATCAATAAAAAAGTTACAAGTACCACAACGAAAATTGGAAAGATCTATGCTTGGCGTAACTTTGAGAGACCGAATACGAAATGATGAGATACGGCGAAGAACTGGAGTGGAAGACGTCATAAAACGGATTACGAAGTTGAAGTGGAAATGGCCAGGACACGTCGCAAGACAGAGAGACAACAGATGGACAAAGAAGATTTTAGAATGGCGGCCAAGGGCAGACAAGCGAAATCGTGGAAGACCACCTACCAGATGGACGGACGACATTAAAAGAATAGTGACAAACTGGATCGCAGCTGCACAGGACAGAGAAGAGTGGAGACAATTTGGCTGTGTGATGATGATGATGATGAACAGTGATGTTGATATTAACAAAGATGAAAAGGAGGTTGAATACTTCTGTCTTTCATTACAAAACATCACGAAGTGAAAAGTCCTGTTAGTGAGATTTTTGTCTAGTTCTCGGAAAAAGACGGAACTTCTATGTCTGTCAGGTAAAAGGAGTTTTAGAAGGAGAAGAATTCGAATGTCAAGGCCTTAAATCAGCAGGATCGAGGAAGATTTCCAAAATATTTGAATGACATATGCACTGTTCCCTTCAAGTAAGTAGTTGCCTTACTACCAGATCCGACACTTGAAATTGTTCTGAATTGCATATTTAGTTGTTAAAATATGTTTTTTTGTATAAATAAAGAATAGTACAATAAAAATAGTGTGATCAGTCTCACCCCGCATGATCAATCTTACCCCTTTGTAAAAATTCGAAAAACTGTCTGATAGAATTTATCACTGTTAAGATTAATCATAGTCTATTTAAAAGCACTACTGTTTAATGCTATAAAATCAACATGATCAATCTCAACCCAGTACGGGTCTAAGATTGACCACCCTTTTTTTATGAGATAAGTGTAATTTCTTAATAATTAAAACAAAACTAGTCTTAAATCACTACTCTTTAGATATTAATAAAACACGTGAAGTGTTTAAATATAGAACAGCCACAAAAACGTTTAAAATATAAATCAAATAAAGGTAAATTTGATCAATTTCACCCTATTTCACGGTATAAGACAAATATTTTTCTTTCTTATATTAGTTTTTCTTTATAACTGTTTAAATTTGTATTTGTAAATCAATAATTTATACTAATAGAATGAAATAATTCAAATTTATCTGTGAAAACAAACTGTGTAGTTTCAAGGCGGAGCATATTATATATTTTAAATAAAGTTCTTTGTAATATTTTTCCATATACGTTAGATGTTTAATTTATTATCAGAAATTAGAAACAATTTTATAATACAATTTCGTAATATAGAATTTATCTGAAAAATATAATTCTTCAGATATATGTTTGTTTCTGTTAATTATGCAACCAAAATACACCAATAACCACTCACTACTTCATTCATTATTTGTGTCGTCTAGTTTTAAAACCCGACAAATCCTCTGAGGTCAAAATGTTGGGAAATTCAAAAAACTGTTTTGGTATTAAAGTTAAGCTTATGGGTTTTCATATTTTTTATTAGTTAAAAGATATGTTTCTGAATTAAGAACCATTTGTAATTATTCTAGAAATACATAATTTTAAATAAAATTTAAAAAACAAAAATGGACTTGTCGGTTATTAATTTTTACTTACGGATTTGTCGGGTTTTGAAACTAACGTGTATGAAATTGTCAGCGTTTGAATTATATCCAGTGGAACACAAAACCAAACATTGTTGTTTTATCATATAATTGGTTTTATTTTGACAAAAAGCTTATAGTTATATACCGGTGTGTCTTGGTGAAGTGTGAGTCTCGTCTTGAGATTAAGATGGTCAGTAATATTATACTTCACACGTTTTGTGTATATTGGCGACATAAAATAACAAAAGAAAAAGTCAAATTCTGCGAATTTAAAACAGAGTAAATGAGCTGGCCAGTTTAACAACGCGATGTTGCGAAATAACGAAAACAATATATTTTAAAGCAAAGTCGTTAGAATGCACCATTGCATTAGATTATATTATAGTACAGCAAAAGAAATATATTAAATGTAAAATATGAAAAAACATACTTTCCCAAACATTCTCCCGCTCCAAAAACGAATGTTTTTAAAAACAGCTAAAAGTACAAGTATAAAGAATAGACATGAAATATCGATATAGTAATAAAGAATTAAGCAAGAATAAAATATGGATTGACAAAAAAGCAACGGTCATATTTTGACTACAGTACATTGTTGGATGCCATCTGAAACTGTGCTCAGATTGACAATGCCATCAATTATAAAAGAATAGCGTCGAATAAGTAGCATTTTTTGACCTACTAAACTAGAAAGACTGTGTCAAACACAATACCGTTGGCTATTTTCCTATAAGAATTCCGTGGGGTGCGAAAAAACAAGAAGAAGGACAGTAATGATATTTCGACGAACTCCATGGTTGGAAAATGCCAGTTTGGTGAAATTTGTAATAATTGTGCCGGTGATAAAACACGACTAACACAATCAGGGAGGTGTTGATTAGAAGGCATATAATTCCGAATAGAGTGTGGTATCAGTTCTTGTACGTGTTTAATACGATTGACAATTTATGGGTAGAAATATTAGCTCAAGGGAGCCTAATCATCGAGTCAAATCAAATATCAGAAGATAGGAAGGAGAACCATTTGACAAAGGTGACTAGATCAGCCAGCAATATGTCTGCCAAGAGTTCCAATCTTGTCGAGTCAGAGCGAGCATGAAAATTGGATGAGACTCGTTGACAAAGGTGACTAGATCAGTATCAGATGTATCGGTTCAGATGTTTCATCAACCCAGGATACGTTTTACTAGCAAAAAGACATGTAACATACAACAAGAAATAGCAACAAAAATACGACTGCTTTACGAACGAATAGCCCGCTTTGTACAAGGTTTGTCAAAGGGACGAGAAGAGTGAGAAAAGAAGTGAGTTTCAGGATTCTGCAGGAAAGTAACTTTTTTACAGAAACACATAAATCACGTTCTACTTCTTGTCAAAATAGTCAAAAATTTTTGGAAATATTTAAATTAGGTAATAAGTTCAATTACTTTTGCCTCTGCAGTAGTGTTTTCAATAGCTTTAAATGTTTCAATAAACTTCATTACACAAGATCGTTTTTCAGCAAACTTTAAAAAATGTATGGTCACTGCTTCTGTTTTCACCAACCATTTGTTGTCCATCATGATATCTCCTTAATACACCTGTCTTGATACTGTTTGTTGACAAACAGGTATTTTTTTGTTAGACATAGTATTGTAATGAAATTTTTTTTTGTATTTTGCATTTCCTGTTCCTCCTGATGGTTTTATATTTTTTGTATAGCAAAATTTTCTTATATAGTTATCTTGTCCTAGTTCATTTGCATGTGAATAAAAATTTTGATGGAACTGTTGAACATATCGGATTTTAAGAGTAAAACGTCTACATGATTTGGTAGCATGTTTACAAGATGGATACAATGGCAAATCATGTGCTTTGTATCTAAAAAAAATTTACTATTAAGCATTTTTTTATTAAAAATAAAAATGGTTTGTTTACCTTTTATTTTTTTAGCCGTTTTTTACCAAGTAGCTGGCTGTGAAACACGTTTTCGACTCATATCCGGAGTTGCTAGTCGTCCTCTTCGTCTTCTTTCTTCTCGTATGTAGGCTTTAAAGTATGTTGCCTGTTCAATATTAGCCTCCTTAATTGTTTAAATTATCACACCATCTTTTTCTTGGTATTCCAATACTTCTTCGTCCATTTGGTGACTTATCTCATGCTATTCGTACTATTCTATTATCTGCCATTCTATCTGTATCTTTTTCTGGTTTCCAAACCATCGTTCTGCCAATTTCTTTTCATTTATATTAAAAGTATATTTCTTTTTATTACAGTTGTAGTACCTAATATAGTAATAAAAAGTGTGATATCAAAGGAACCCGGCACGCCTCTTTGGTGTTTACATTTCACGAAAACCCAACCCAAATGTCTTATGAACACATTTTGGCTTCATTGAACTCATTGTATTTATTTGTAGGACCGTTTGCGTAAAAATTTTTGTTATTTTCGGATTAAATTTCACAATAAATTTTGCGTCTATCTGAACATATATTAAATGAAATAATTTTAGTGTAAGTGTCAAACTAACATCCATTTTAAAATCCATTTTATTGGAATACTGTTTGGAATTTGGGATATGATTGGAATAACCTATATCTACATTTTTAGGTAATATAATGTTTACAATTTTTAGGTATTATAGGAAAACCTTTTGCAACTTTTGACAAATTTTATCGAGATAAAGCCCATAAAACAAGAAGCTCCATAATTCGTAAAACAGATGAGGTTCAAAATGGGTCTAATAAAGGCATAATTGTTCAACCGCCTGGTACTTATGATGAATAAGAATAATAAGTTTTATTAAATTGACTTAAGGATACCATATTATTTATTATAACAAAAATACATTTAAGATGATACATTAAACATTAGCTATAACAAATGTCTTTGATTAATCTAGCTAGAGTGAATATTTCTCCTTCCTTTTACAGAATAAAATTCCTAACATTTTTTATATTCCATGATTGTAACACAAATAAACTATGTTTCTTTTTCAGTTTAGATAAACGTGCCCCAAATTTTAAATAATTAAACCAAAACAAAGTTACCAAACCATTGTGTAGAGTTACATTGTTTGAATTATCTGTTCAGATATTGTGTTTTTATGTATTTACTGCACTCTTTTATATAAATGTACGTTTCGATCGAATTATATAATGAAATCTGTTGACTGGTGCACCCCCTAATACATAGATGGCGCTTGGATTAGATGGACTCTTATAATTTTATCCCTTTATAAAAAATTTAATATATGTATACATACTATATTATATAACACATAACTGTATGCTAAAATTAAAAATAATATTAAAGGATATTTCTTCAATTTCAAAAATATCATTTAATAAAACAAGTAAAGGGGCTCTTATGTTTGGGATCAGTCTTTTCGTGTGCTTCATGAATGTCAGATTTTAGATCAAGAATATTTATTGTCAATGCCCGAGCGATTTTGTCTATAATAAAACCATTTTGTTCCGGAATTTAATGATTCTAGTGTGCAGGTTAATCTGAAATTTACCGTTTTTTTTTTATCAATTTGCTCCTAGAATATGTTAAGATGATTGGTCTGTATGATTCAGGTTATAGGTTTAATTTTTAAGGTTTTAAAAAGGTAATATAATAGCTTTAGAACAAATTGATGAACATTTACTGTTCTGTCAAATTAAGTTAAAAAGTTAAAGAATTAATCATTTGGCCAAGTAAGGAAGATGTTTTAAAAATATTACGGGGATGTCGTTTGGGTCCGTGCTAGTGTTTTTTTAATTCGGATAAAGCATTTTCCAGTTCTTCAATAGTTAAAGGTAGATCTAATGGATGGTTTAAATTATCACTTAAAAAGAGATCAGTATTTTCTGTTATTATTTTCTTTATTCATTATTCATATTAAGTTCGCTATTTCATGAGAAGCTGAAATCTTTTTTTTTATTAGAAAAAGATGTCGTATCCACCAAAAGGTTATTAGCGACGGAACAAAATATAAAAAACAAAGTTAAACACCTACAGATTGTACGAAATGTTTATGGATCTAAGATTATTCACTATATTGTTACAGGAACAGTTTTGACCTAGAGCCTGTAGTAGAGCGTTTGGGATCTTGTAGCGCTGTCTTTCTGGGTCATATTTACTACAAATTGTTAGAAAATGTTCGACTGTTAATCGGACGTTACACTGATCACATATAGGTGGATTTTTCTTTGTGAAAAGGTAGGAGTACGTTAATCTGGTATGTCCTAGGCGTAAACGCGCAACCGAAATTTGTTCTCGTCTATTGAGCGACGATGGAAACCACTGGGACACATCATTTTTGATTTTATTTAGATTGGAATTACTTTGAGACCACTTATTTTGCCACAAACACCACACTTTATTTTTAAAATAAGCTTCTAAGTCACGAAAAACTCACTTGTCTATCGGCTTTGACAAATCACTTAAAATTGCTTCTCGTGCAGTCCTGTCAGCTTCTTCATTTTTTGTTATTCCGTCGTTTGAGGGAACCCATAAAAATTGGACGCTTCTTCCATGTTCATAAGAAATAATAATATCTGGAGAATATTTAGATAAAAGAAGCTGTAGCATAGGGAGACGATGAAAAAATCCATCAATGTTCCATTGAAGTATCGAGTTGAATGTTGTTAACAGATTCGGAGTTAGATGATACTGAACAATTGTCTACAGAAGAGTCACTATCTAAGTCAGAAATCTCTTTCTCTAAATGGTTGTATAGTTTCTTTTGAAGTTTTGTAAACTTGCTTTTTGTAGATCTATCATTTGCATATTGATAGCTGCTTTGTAAAAGATGGAGTAAACCATCGATATCAATTGTAAATTCTTTGACGACGCTAATAGTGTCGGAGGAGAGTTGGACATTATCAATCAGTAAGGACAATTGGTGGTAATTTAAAACTAATGGTGGGGTATGATTATCAATGAAATTTTCAAGAGTTTCCCGTGTAGATGGGACTTTATATGAGCGCGGTTTTTTTGGTTTAGAGGGTTTTGGTTTTGCAAACAAATTTTCTGATGTAATTACTAAGTCTGAAGGAGGCGTGACGATCTCACCAATACTGCGTTTTATGGAAGAACTTGTGTTTTCGAAATTGTTATTAGAGTTTTCACTTAGATGCTGTGGCTTTATTACATTTGGAAGTACTGGAGCAAACTCCTTGGTAGTGACAGACCTCGAGCTTGAAGTTTTATTTGTAAGATTGGTTGAAATGGTTGTTTCAGAAAATTGTCTTGATGTATCAGTTTTATTAGAATTTTCTGCAGTTGTATCTAATGAAAAAGGAGCTGATAGATTGGAGGATATTGCTTCCGAAGTTTGTGAAAACGGTATTGCTACTGAATGAGGTTGATTGAAAGTGTTGTTATGAGTAGGAGCGTTAGTAATTTCTTTGTCATGGAGATTTGTAGATGTAGATGTAGCTTGGATTTGATAATGGATAACTTGATGACTGCTGGGTGTTTGGTACCTTGTGTAGTATACTTGTTGAAGCTGTTTGATTTGGTACTTCATTGTTTGACTCAATATGAGTTGATTCCGTCACTGAGCTGTTATTTCATTGGGATGATATGTGTCCTGTATGTTTGCAAATAAAGCAGGTAAGTGTACCTTGTGACAAAAATATGCGGTCATGTGTTTGATCGAAATTTATTAGAATAGAATCTGGAATTGGTGATGTTATGGGGCTTATATAAACTTGCCTCCGAAAGCTCAATATGTGACTGTATTCGGGGAGAATCGAGCTAATTTTCAGAAATGATATTGGGGAAATATGCTTTAAACCGATATTCTGTAATTCTTCAACTAATACTTGATGAGGAATTGACGGGCAGACACCAGACAAGACTAGTCTTTCTGCTGGAGAGACAAGTCTTCGTGCTGTTACAACTTCGCCGAGTACTTCTATAGAGCCATGTTGTGTCATGAAGTTATCTACTACGGTTTTGTTTGCCAAATACATGCAGATTCTATTATGAGATAATCTAGATGAAAAAATAATATTCTTTGGGTTGATGATTGTGCCCAAAGGAATGAGATAATCCTGCAGTTTAGCATTATCGATGCAACTAAATACAATTGCTTGGGTCTTACTCGGAAAAGAGTGTGAAGCGGCTGATTCATAACTGTTTGTGATATTCGAACGTTGATTTACTGGACTGGTTAGATCGGAAGGTGTGTTTACATTCTGTGAAGTCATTTTGAGCTATTTCGGCGAAGGCCTTACTCCGACTCTGGTAAGTGAAAAACTAACCGCATGCTACTATATAAGGTACTTACAGCTAACCTCACAAAATGATTGTACGTTGGTATATATTTATTATTGACGTTTTTTTTTCACAATAATAAAATAATAATTACGTATAGATAACTTACATAGTAGTATCTAGTAGATAAACACTTTAATTTTAAAAGACTATTTAATAAAATCACTTGTTTTTATTAAAAACTAGGAGTACGATATCAGTACAACTTAACCATACCTTGCCAGGGCCGGTCCTCAGCTGAAATCTTATTTTGACTTCCTACTTTTAATTTAAAAATAATTGGTGTATATTTCACACCAGGGATTTTCCTTATTCTTTTCCATAGTTTGCTGACAGAAGATGAGGAATTTATTTCTGAAACATACTTGGCCAGGAGGACTTCTTAGCTTGTTTTATAATAAGCTGTGTCCTAGCTTTAAGTGCTTTGAACATGATTTTATATTCAGGTGTCTTATGTCTCTTATATTTATTAAGTCCAGTTTTACTTGCTGTGATAGCAGCTCCACATTCTAAGTTCTACTAAGGTACAGGAATCTGATTATTTATTGAATTTTTGTTTTCCCAATAAATTAGTTAGCACTTCTCATTATAATGCGATTTAAATTCTTTATGCCTTTAGCCATTTTACAGTTCGGCATTGAGTTGTCGATATAATTTTCGAATTTAAACCAATCGGCGGTTTCAGTTTTCCATCTGGGTATGAAAACCTCATGGGTCAGAGCCATAGAGTTTTTTTTACTAGAATGGTGGTCGCCCTCATACGTGTATTGTAAAATATTCCAAAATAATCGAGGTGTGAATGCAGGGTAACAAAGACTTAGATCAGTTGCCGAAGAATCTCCGGTATTAATGTTAAATCTGGTTGTAGAGACGTAAATTGAAAAACTCAAATTATATTTTTGACCATTCTTCTTTTAGCATCTGTATAAGAGGAGCTCCAAATAATATTATAACTATTAAAATCTCCTGCAATAATGCAAGGGGGTGGTATTTGACTGAATAAATCAAAGGGATTGAAGGGTAAGTAAACGTTGCAAATAAAATACCTGTTTGATGATTGTATTTTTGCAACTGCAATTTCCAGATTTGTAGTTACTGAAAATTATTTAGGCTACACTGCCTAAAGAAAAATTCTTATTTGTTATCCTATCTTTGAGAAAACATTCACATTGATTTTAGTTATATTTTTTTGGGGAGTCAGATAATTTTCCTATAAGCATATTACACAGTGGCGGCTGGTGTGGTAAAATTTTGGGTAGGCCAAGCCAGCAAATTACATCGTAAATTTAGCGACATATTCTGTGAATCTTTTATTATCGCCCAATTCCAGTTATTAAAACTTTTTAAAAGTGGTTAGAAAATGTAAGGTCATTTCTCCAGCTCTTTACCATTACAACACTTCTGCACACCGAATTGGCACACTATTGAACATCATTATTTTTCTTCTGCAAGATGTTGTATAAGAGCTCAGTTTGTTGAAATATATCACTAAAAACATTTAATAAAAATACAAATTCCAAATCCTCCAACTTACGTTTAAAACCATCTGCCTCCCTTATTGATTTTGCATTTGATTCTGGGCAATTCATTATGTCCTGCAAGACTT